CAAACAGGTAGGTGTGCTTGAGAATCGGTATGCCCCCATTCCTGGCCATTTCAAACTAGGAAAGTAGCGATTATTATTCAAAAAAAATAGTTGGTGGTTCAACATGGTTAACCATATTTGTTTTGCACCCATGGTGGTACCAATCCCTTGAGGAGAACATCGATGAGATGGAAACCCTGCCCCTTGGACTTCCTGACCAAGATGAATCGATGTGTGATGCAGGGGGGCGTCGCCAAGCCAACAAGGAGATCCATCTTCATGAAAAAAATGATATTGCCCATTTTTAGAGCCCTCTAAAGCCCATTATTTGGATCCCGTATCATACATATTATGTGGATGAAAGAAATCCTTGACCACCTGGTAGATGGTTTATCCCAGTGCTATACCACACAAGTCTCCACCTGGGAGAGGATTTTGTTCATCCAACACGTTCCCTGCCCTTGAGGACCAATCTCCGCTTGAGACGGTCCCGCCTACGCTTTCGAAGTCTGACATGGCGCTCCTCAGCGAAGTGGCTGCTGAGACTGACGCTGATGTCTACGGTGCCCAGCTTGCCAGGACCAAGGCAGCAAAGGTTACGAGTGCCCAGCAATTAGTTGAGAGGGCCATGGCAGATCACAAAGTCATCAAGGGAATGCTGAAGCCCGAGGGTGGGCGAGGGAAGGGAAAGGGGAAAGGAAGGGGTAGAGCCAAGAATTCTATTCCCAAAAACGAGGATCAGGAGGCTCCTTCGGGAGCATCTCCGACAGGTGGCAATGGGGAAGGGGGTGTGCCTGGGGACGAGGTTGCGCCACCACTGGTGGCAACCGGTGGTAGGCGCATCAGGAAAAAAACGCACGTGTCTGTTCCTGGGGATGGTTTGAACCATGGGGATGGTTTGAAAAATGAAGATGGGAGTATGGAGGGTCCGGGTCCCAACAATGGAGGGGTACCTGCAAAGACCGTGGATTTGATTGCCCTTTGGAAGGAGAAAGATTCTAGGCTGTAGCTATTCTTTGATATTCAATTAAGTTATTGAATTTGTTTTTTACCGAATATCTCAAAACGGGGGATGCTCGAAAAAAT